TCCTGAGGTTTGCAGCAAAAGCATTCAAAGCAGCTCAAGCCCAAGGGAGCACAATGCAAGACCCACAGCAATCCTACAATATGCACCAAAGGGGCCCCCTTGCGCGCCGCCGCCCCCCCCATGGGAAACGAGAAGGTTGCGGCTGAAATGCAAGCCCCTGCTGGCTGCAGCCGAAAGCCACAGAGATGGGGTGGCCCTGGACTCTCAGCTTGCAGCAAAAGCATTCAAAGCAGCTCAAGCCCAAGGGAGCACAATGCAAGACCCACAGCAATCCTACAATATGCACCAAAGGGGCCCCCTTGCGCGCCGCCGCCCCCCCCATGGGAAACGAGAAGGTTGCGGCTGAAATGCAAGCCCCTGCTGGCTGCAGCCGAAAGCCACAGAGATGGGGTGGCCCTGGACTCTCAGCCCCCAAAGCGGGAGGCCGTCTGCCCTCACCCCAGCCCCCCCCACCTTGGAGGGCCTGCAGGAGCCTTCACCCAGCGGGCCTCAGGCGGGCACCAAAGTGGCTTGGCCAGCCCGGGAAGGCGAGGAGGAGGAGGAGGAGGAGGGCAGGGGTGATGGCAAACACGGCTTTCACCCCAGGCCAGAGCAGGGGCGGGACAGGACGGTCCGGGCAGATGCTCCGAGGAGAGCCGGTCGCCTTCCCTGGCACAGTCTCCTTCTTGGAAGGAAGAGGGCAGGCCTTTTGCGAAGCGAGGGTGCGCCCGCGGTCGCCCGGGTCTCACCCTTGCCCTCCCCTCTCCCGGCCATCCTATCCCAGCAGGGAGGCTTCTGAATCTGGGCTTGGGAAAAAAAGCCCCTTCCCTTCCCTGCAAGCAGGAAACCTTCTGCACCCCACTGGGAAATAAAGGCCCCCTCCCTCTGCAAGGGACCCACGGAAAGCCCTCTGTCCCTGGGGGGCAGCCAGAGCTGCCCACAGATGGCTTCTCGGGGAACCGCGTCTGGCCTCCCTTCTCTCTGTGACGGAGGGGCAGAGGACGCGGCACTGATGCGGCTGCTTCCACAGGCAGGTGGGCGAGAGAGCGCCTTCCCTGGGCTGCCACCCTGGCCTTGGCATCGCCCCCTCGCTTCCCTTTGGAGAAGAGGGTCAGCGGCCAAACCGACTCTGACTCTGCTCGTCTCGGAGGACCTGACAAGCCCCGGCAGAGGGGAAGGGGGGCTCCCACTCACCGCTGCCCCCCCATCCCTCTGCAAACACCGGAAGGGGAAAGGGGAAGGAGGGAGGGCTTCTTCCTCCTGCAAGGCTGGCCTCAAAGAAAGGCTCCGGTCCCCTCACTCTGGAAAACACCTTCCCCCGCCCTCCCGGCTGACCTCCCGGCTGACCTCCCGGCCACCCACGCACTGACCAGGCCCCCTCCCGCCCAGACTGACCTGCCTCCGTGGCCAGGATGGTGAGGTTGTGCCAGCCGGCCGCCTCCCGGTCCAACAGCTGCCGGGTCACGATGGTCCCCCTCTGTGGGTCAATGTGAAAGATCTGCTCCAGGTCGCTGGCTTGGTCAATGGCGTACCTGTTCCCCCCGGCCAGGAGAAAGAGGAAGCATAAAGCAACTACAACGGGAGGGAGGCAGGGGGCAAGCAAAGGGGGTGGGGATGACCACAGCAGGGGCTAGGCAACCCCTCCTCCTCGTCTAGGGCCGGGCCAGGCCACATCAGATCTACACACACACACACCACAATGGATGGGGATTCTGGTGTTACAGGTCAAATCCTGCATCCTAATTTGTTCTCCGGCAAGGGAGCAGGCGAGACACAAAACAGCTGAACCCAAGTCCAATTTTATTGAAAGGAATACAAAGTCAGCCGGGACTTCTCTTAGAAGCAGAGAAGACCTGAAAATAAAGTGTACATGTATTTTATAACATAACAAAGAGTCATAAAGTTCTACAATTCTATTGGTCAGCTTTTCCTAAAGTTAGCGTCTTGCCTCCGATTGGTTAATGATGCCAAGAATTGCAAAGTTATCGGTCCTCTGCAGATGTACGTAAAATGTCCCCACTCCCCTTTGGCCTGCCCCAGAGATTCGCCTTATTGTCTGGAGGAAGGTCTGTTCCCGTTTCCTTATCTATTGATGTACGTTTATGTGGCCTTCCTAGGCCTCAAAGTAGGGCCTCCGGAAACCAGTGCCCCTGCTGGTTTTATCTCCTCCTCTTTGTGTTCCAGCAACATGCCTAAGCTTGGCCACCTGCTATTCAAGAGCGAGCAGGCGGAAGGTGAGAAACAGAGAAACAAGAGGACCTTTATACTAGCAAAGAAGGGCTCTCTCAGGCTCAATGCGAGAGGCCAGTTCACCTCTAAAACTGTGTTTTGAGGATATCCAGGTATCACTGGGACCAACTCACTGAGGCTGGGTCCGGGGAAGGCAGCCTGGAGCATCTAGTCAGGAAAGGAGGCCCAGAAAGCAAGTCCTGGAAAAGGCTAGGCACAGACTGCCCCATGGAGGACTCAAAGAGCCAGGAAGGAAAGGGGGTCCCTCCTGGAAGCCGCGCATCATGGCAGCCGCAGCCAACAAGGGCCTTCTGCTGTGCCCAAACCGACCCTCCCAGCAACTTCAGCCAAGAGGTTTCTCTCTTTTCTGCACTTCTTTTCCGCCTTACTTGACCTCGAATGATCAGCTGTAACAAGCCACACTGTCCCTCTCCATCCCCTCACCAGGGCATTCCACCTTTCTCCGTCTTCTCCCGTTTCCTGATTCTTGGTCTTCCTTAGCTTTTGCACACCTTCATTTGGCAGGCTCCCCCCCCCCCCGTGAGAGCCAAAGACTTCTATTCCCTTTTCTAAATAATTGCCTTTGCTAATGTCCACAGTGCCAGGCTATACGATGCTAGAACCAAGAATACAGAGCGCTGTACGCGGTGCATTCTCGACGCCAGTTTTGAATTTCTCTTACGCTTTCGGTTCTTCACCTTCAGGAAGCAGCCCCCAGGCCCTCCTCTCTCTCCTCCCATGTCTTGTGCGGCTATCATCTCATGGCTCATTCAACCAAATTGCAAGGTAGTTAGTTATCTTTGCCAACACAGTCCTCACTTCAGCTGTGCTTCTTGAGCGGCTTGCTTTTTACGGATGACTTTCCTCTTTGCTAACAAATTATTAAACAGACAGAGAAAAGCGGAGGTCCCAGAAGTGCTGAGCTTTGCATGAGCTGCTTAATGCCCAGAGCCTGCCTGCCTGCCTGCCGTCTGGCACACAGGGCTGCCTTCCCGCCACCCTCAAAGTGCCCTCTCCGCAACATGACAGCCTCCATTCATGCCAGCCGCGCTCGTGCTTCTCCACAGACACGCCACGAAGGAGCAACAGGCTCGGCACTGTGAGCAGGTCACCTACCTGTGGAGGAGCGGCTGCGGCTTTGATGCGGGTGGAGGAGGAGGAGGATCAGGCGAGGCCTCGGGCGAGGGCACCCGCAGGCCATCCTTGGCAGCAGGCCGTGCATGCCCTAGGCATTCGTTGCAAGTGGCGAGTGTCGTGCCAACCCTCTCGATACAGTGCGATCAAGAAGGAGGAAGCTGTTCCCAGAGGCCTGATCCCAGGAAGGGGGAGGGCTGTTGGCTGCAAGCCCCAGTCAGACCGAAGGCTACGCAGGAGGCCTGGGCTCCCCTCCTGTACCCACCCACTTGCTCTGCTCCCTAAGAGGCTGGTGCCCAGTGTCCCCTGCAGGTGGCTGTTCTGGGTCCAGGGCAGGGGAGTGCCTGGGCCGCGGGCAGGGCAGGGGAGCCCGAGATCGGAAGCCTCAGGCCGACACCGCTTTTGGCTTCTCATTCCCCCCCTCTCTCCCCCCCCCGGAGCTGCTGCCACCCAAACAGGATCTCAAATCTCCACTGGGCAGGTGGGCAGGCTGTGCCCACTGAGCTTCCCTCCCTCGCCAGGCAGAGCCACTGCAAGAACCTTGCTGACTTGGAAGGAGGAGTGGAAAGAGGACAGAGGCAGGGGGAGACCGGGCAGGGCAGGGCAGGGCAGGAGAGAGACCTTCACGGCTGTGACCTTGACCCAGAAAAGCACTAGACGAAGATGAAATCCAGTGGGGAAGATTACAGGATGCGCCAAGGCCCCGGCTGGCAGGAGCCCGGTGGGCCTCCGAGAGCCGCATCAGGCATCGCATGACAGCGCAGAATGTCCCAGCCTGGCCCGACACACGCACATGCTTACGAAACATGGATCTGTCCTACATACGCCCGCTGCAACTCGGAAGAGGCTGCTGAGGAAGACCTCGTCTGCGTTACCAGCAGAACACAAGGCAAACAGGGACATCGAGGCCACGTGCAGAGGAGAGAATACAGAGGGGACTGGTGGAAGCCACCGATGCGATGTGGGGGCTAGGAAGGGCCCCCTCTGTGCTCAGCATGGCGCCCAGCTGGTCCACCACACTGCGGGCTTGGCAAGATGGAGCGGCAGACAAACAGAGAGAGAGAGAGAAGGCAGGAAGGTGCTCTTAGTGGCAGGAGGATGTGCTGCCGAAAAAGAGGACAGCCTTCCTCCTCTTCCTCCTCCTGGACCGCCGAGGCAGAAAAGTTGGCAGAAGCCCAGCGCTCTTCCAGAGAGGACTTTCCACCTCCCACACCATGAATGCAAAGAGAGGAAGTTCACACATTCACCTGGGACTTGATGGACACGAGGCAGCCACGGGTGGCAAGGGAGCTGCAAAACCCACGGGCACAACCCGTCAGGTGGCGCAAGGCTTTGCTGCCTGGCACCATGCCGGAGCTTCTCCCCTTTAAGGCCAGGGGTCCAACCTCGGCTGGTCACAAAGGAGGCCAAAGGCCCTGGAGGCTCCGAGCTGACCTCGTGTGGCCGCGGCGGGGGGGGGGCTGTTTTCCCCACCCTCACAAAGGGCACCCCTCCCACAATCCAGATGCCTCCGGCCCCGTCTCCCAAGGAGCTGTAGGGCAGGGCGTTTCTCTTGCCATTCATTTATTGGTTTAATTTAAATGATTTAGATGCCGCCTTTCTCCCCACAGGGGACCCAAGGCGGCTCACCACAAATAAAAACTATAAAACAAACAAAGTTTTAAACTACTATATAAACATTGTATTTAAATACAATTAAACCTCTATTAAAAATAACAAGCCAAGATTAAAAACAATTTAAAAACATTTAGAAATCTGTAAATCAAAAACCAAAAATCTGTAAATTAAAAACCAGAATTAAAGGCCTGCCTGAACAGGAAGGTCTTGGCCTGACCATGGGAGGGGGCAGGGCCCCCCACCTGGCTTCTCTGGGCAGTGCATCCCAAAGCTTGAGAGCCACCACCACCACCCCGAGGAGGAAGAGGTGCCGAGGGCCACCCAGCAGACCCCACACCCACGGCCTTGCTTTGCCGCATGGCAGCCAGGCTGCTCCCTAGCCACTCTACAGTGTCTGCACCAGGAGGGGCTCGGCTCTCTTGGGCCAGAAGGACACAAACCCCCCCCGCCACGAGGGACCGGCGCCCACCACAGATAGGCAGGGTTGGGGGGTCCACCTGCCGCAGCCTTCCTCCTTTCTTTCCCTCCATCCCCCACAGGCCCAGGAAACAGGGCTTCTCCCCAAAGGATGGCCACCAGGAGAGGGGGGGGGGAAGCAGACAGGCTCACCGACAGCAGGGCCATATCCAGGTGGGTCTGTGAGCCCCCTTGGACCAACAGCCAGTCCGGTTGCTGCTTCCCCCCCCCCGCCATCTACTGCCCATGACACCGAAAGGAGGCAGAGCAGGGAAGCCCGGCTGCCACCGCCAGAGAGACCCGGCGCCAGGGAAGGCCAGGCAGCCCCTGTCCGTGGAACGGTCTGCCAGCAGCGCCAAGCCACGAAGATCCGGGTCACGACCCCCTCGCCTTTCTGCTCACGGTTCTAATTGTCTGGCTGTCGAGTTTATTTTCAATCAAGACCAGGATGTCTCTGGAGGATTTATTGTCCTTTATCCAGCTAGGAAATAAATCCAGTTGCTAGGCTGCTGCCAGCAAACGGAGGGGCGGCTTCCCGGAGCAATAGAGAGGGTCCCACACCCTGGGACACCTGGCGAGGAGGAGGAGGAGGAGGAGGCATCAGAGGCATCGGGAGGGGGGCTCCTTCCCCCAGCAGCCCAAAAGCAGCAAGCCCCCTGCCCCCCCCCGACAAGGGAACACACAGAGAGAGGCTGGGACCTCCCGGGCTCAGCGCTCGCTGGAAGCAGCTGCTCTCCATGTGCCAGGCTTTCTCTCTCAGGGCTGGGGGCGCCTTCCCTCCAAAGTCAGAGGCTGTAGGATTCTCCGTACTGGCTGCCAGGGTGGGGCGTGAGTGGACGGAGGATCTGGCCCTTGACCGCTGCTCCTGCTGGCCTTCTTCTCCTGCAACTGCAGGAGCCGAAACTCAGTAGGCCTGTTTGGGGCTGGGGCTGAGCAGGCGTGGGCCTCCTGGGCCAGGGGAAGAGGAGCCGGGGCTTCCCAGAGAAGCACCTTGACTCTCTCCCCGTCCCTTCCGTGGCCGCAGGGCCACGCTGACGCCCTTGGCCAGCCCAGGGGCCCTCCAGCTGTACAGAGCCCCCTCCTGGGGGGACAGGTACATGTGGGCCATGGTGGGGGGGCATTCTCTGCCACCCCCACCTCCATGGGTCAGTCCAGCCGTGCTCAGGCTGGGCCCCCACAGAGCTCTGGCCGCCGGTGGCTGCTCGGTGCCTCTTCCAGAAGCGGAAGCCACCCGAGAGGCCACGGGGCCTGAGTCTCTGCACCTCGGGCAGCCTCCAGGGGCTCTCCCCCCCCCGGCGCCTCGGCCGCCTGCCTCGCTGGCTTCTGGCCCTGCGTTCCGCGTGGGGGGTGGCTGCCGTGGCCGCCTGTGACTGGCATGCCTCGGGGGTGGGGGTGG